CTTCAATCAGTGACGTAATCAATTGTATCAAAAGTTATATATATTTTGTAGCTGAAAAAAAATTAATTTCGTCACTAATGATATATATTTTATATACAAAAAATTATTTTGTTTTTAAATGTATATACATATATATCTTCCTCTCTCCCCCACCCCCCCACCCCCCTCTCCCATCTCAAATTTTTTCAACATTGGCCAGGAGCTCACACATGATGCTGCCTCGGGGAATCAAACTCAGAACCTTAAGGTTGGAAATGAAGAGTGCTTACCATCAGACCAACTCCCTCTTGTTCATTTTTATTTTATTTTATACTTCATTCACTTTTTTCAAATTTAACTTTTGTAGAAATAATATATTATATGATTATTTATGCTCATATACAAATGCATGAAATTTACCACCCACAATTCATTCAAATGTAGATTATATTTTAATTAAACTGTGTATTTTTTAAATATCTTTAAATATATTCTGTTCAATTTTCTCATTTTATTTATTTATTTTTGTAAATTTTAATAATTATTCAGTACAATAATATATTTATTTAAAATCTACTTTTGATTTTATTAAAAAAAATGAATAATCAGTTCAAGTTGAACATCAATACCCATAACTATAGTAATTCATCATAATATATCTGAAATCCTCGTTATTTCATTTCTTTTATATGTGCTTTCATTTTTTAGTTTATTTCAATTTTCACACTGATGGAAAAAATTAATAGAAATTCATGAAATATATTGCACCTTTGCAAAGTCAAAGTTTATAAGTCGATGTTATCTCGGTATAGTTACTCTACATACGTGAGTGGAACTAATATTTAATATGTACATATTTATAGACAAAAACATATAGATCTACTTAATCTATGTAGTTTACCAATAATAAATTAATAGACATGCACAAAGATTCGCATAAAGACTACAAATTATTTTTTTATCGTGCTTATCAATAAAAGTGTGTTAAATAAAAAACAAAAGTGTTAAACTAACAAATATTAGTGATCTATTGGTAGAACCATGCTTACTCACAATATTTTTAACCCGGATTGTATATTCAAATGATGCATTATATAATTGTGTAATTTAAGAAAACAGATGTATTTGATCGTTTTACAAAATCGACCAAATTCATTGGTTTTTATATTTTCACTTGTCAGTTAACGAATGGACTATGTCTACTTCTTATGAAGCACTTGTATTATTATTTTTGTAATTTGTCATTTGTAATTATGAACAATTGTAGCAAAAAAAAATTGTATTTAGCTATGCATTTTTTCGTAGCAAATAGTTTAATTATTCACTAAAAATTTTAAGTCGTCGCTATTAAACACCTTACATATTTTGTGACAATTTTTTTGTTGTCACTAAATCATATATTGATTAGAGACAATGAAATATTTGTCACCAATTATTTATATTATTAGTGACGAAATAAAAATCATAATAAAATATACGTTTTCATAGCTAAAATTTATAATATTTAACTACAAACTCTAATTTGTGGTTATTTTAACAACATATTTTTTAGATGAATTTTTTTTTGTCCGAAATTCAATAAATTATTAGTGACGAAATAATGTGTCAAATGATAACTTCGTGACTAACACTAATTAACAAATGGCGCCAAATTTTTTTTTGGTGGGAAACTTTTGTGAACAAAAATTAGCGACGAATTCTTATGTTTCGTCACTAAAAGTATGTGTCTCATATATTTAAGCACGAAAAGTAAATTTTATCACTAAAATCGAATAATTAGTGACGAATTTGATGTTGTAGCTAATAATTTCATAGCTATCTATCATATTTGTTGTAGTGAAAATCTAATTTCATCTCCACATCGCACTAGTGTTCTCTAATTTGAGTCTTCACTCGTTGCTTATTTCCAACTACCTAAGTCTTCAATAATCACTGTGTGATCCTATATATCCGGATCATACTTCTCGAATTTACATTTCAAACTCAAGATAGAGTTAAAGAGTAAATTTTGAGGGAATTTTTTGAGTCATTTTGAGAATTCTTTTGCAAACTTTTTTTATAGAATTATTTTAATATTTGAGTACTTGAGAGGATGATGGTAGTTGAGTTTCATATTTTTTTAAAATGAATATATGGGAACCAAGCATTCTCAAGAGTAAATTCTTTTACGTTTAAAATGAGAGGAAACATCGATTTTCAAATGAGTTCAAGATAAGTTTTTTAGTATAATCTCTTTTAAGAAAATCTTTTGAGTAATAATCTCAAGGATTGAGGATGAGAAAATGTTTCTTAAACATATGAGCATAAGTTATATTATTGGGAAGAATATTGAGCACCGGTATAGGGACGACTTCAAACAACTCAAAGTCCTTATAAACCATGTATGTCAACGCAGGTAGAAAAGCTCATAGTTTTTAGATGATTCCTTATTTACTTTTAAGCATAGCGTATTAGATCCACTTAGTTGAGGATGTCTTATACTTAGGCAAGGTATATGATAGTTCTGACAGCGTGGGTGAGATGTTGTATCATCACATAACTCGTAGTGATGGTTATCGGTCAGAAAATCTCTCAAATAAAAGTAAAAGAGTTTATTATTGTATTTTTAGATGCAAGTGAGTTATTATACGCCTCTTAAAAAGCTTTATTTATAATGTATTTTTATTGTTGTTTTTATATTGAACTGAGTTGAGTATCCTTGAGTTGAGATGAGGTGAGTATATTCTTCCTTTTTATCAGTTCAAGCTTATATATGTTCTTCAGAGTTCCCCTTGCATGCTTGTACATTTCATTACTGATGTTATTTGGCCTACATCTTTCATGATGCAGATAAAGATAACCAGGGTCATCAACAGGTGCTTCATTGATACCACTTGCAGTTTGAGTTAGCTTTGGGGAGCCTCCACCTTCTGAAGGATTCCATTTATATCTTTCAGTTTTTTTAGAATGTTGTGGGTCTTGTACCGACTTTCATCATATTTATTAGAGGCTTCATAGATAGACAATAGTAGTTTAGGAGTCTTTTCCATTTTCTTTGTGATGTGTAAAGAGTTGAGTTTATAGTTATGTTATTGAGTATTTAAGACTTTATTGAGTTAAACTATTTTTAAGTAGTGATGTTGTTATGAGTTGAGTTACAATTGAGGTTAATTTATTTTTGAGTAAATATTTTGTTGAGAGCTGAGTCAGCCCAAGGGTTCGCTTAGTGCCAACAATGGTTGTCGAGTGTCGGCCACGTCTAGGGTGTAGGCTCTGGCTTTGACAATAATCATGAGATCCAATGCAATGCAACACCATGAAATGATATGTCTCAGATATAAATTAAGTACTTTCTCAACCCTATATACACTATACTTCTCATAAATGCATTGAGAGAGTTCGTGGTCCATGGGAGACTCGCAAGGTCCATATAACGATAAAGATGATTTCCATGTGTTTGTGCGGATGATCTCAACGGATTATCAAAAAAAAATTTATACCCCTCAACTTTGCCATTTGGAATTGATATATCCCTCTTTATATATGTGGGTCATATATACCACTACCGTTATACAAACGGCTCACATATACCCCTGCCATTACAAAACGATATCACGTATACCCTTCATTTAAAGAAAGTAAAAAAATTAGTTTAAAATTTATATATTTTGACTTTTAATTTTCTTAAAAATTATTTAGGGGTATATATGATTCTTCTAGCATAGTTCAAGGTATATTTTAATCTTTTTCATACATAAATTATTTTTTGACTTCTTTTATTATAATTATTTAAGTTTTTTATTCTTATTTTATTTTTTCTTTCATTCCTGTGTGATAAAGAAAAAAAACGTAAAACTATTTTTTTTGGCTATATTATAATTTAAAACTATTTTTTGGTCTATATTGTAATTTAATTTTTGTATTGAAGAAAAAAATTTGGTCATCTATAATAAGTTTTACAAGAATATTAGTAAAACATATATAAATTTAATCATCAAAATAATAAATCTAAATTAGTCACTGAAACAAAAAAAATTCAAAAAAATAGATATGTTTAAGGAGGATTAAATATACTCTTATGGAATTATATATTTTTTTTAAAAAAATAAAAATAAAAATAATTTTTTTTCATTTCCGTTTGACAAAAATGATATATGTAAGTCATTTTATATAAGTAGGGGTAGATAAGAGCCACTTTTATAACGATAAGTATATCAACTCTAAATGACAAAGTTGAGAGATATATGAGACCCTTATCTCTTTATTTTATACACACATTTAATTTTAGAGAATTGTATCAAAAGTTTTTTATATATTTGAAATCTCATGCCTAATCCAATTAAAAATATAAAATAAAATAAGTGAAATATATTTAGGCTTTTTTTTAAGAATTAACTTTAGGCCACATATTTCGTCCGAGTCGCCCCAGACTTGTAGTTGGTTTGTAGAAATGTCAATGATCACGGGAATAGTTAATACTCTAAAAGCATATTAAATTTCCAATAACTATATTATAGAGCATGAATGCATGCAAACTATTGGATGGAGCTCCTTTCTAATTTTAGTCAAATTCTTATTTAAATTGAATACATGTAATATAAATTAAAATTAATGGTAATATAATTAAATTAGGGGCACATTGGAGGTGAGTGGAGTCCAATATTAATTTTTGTTTCTTAAACCAGGTTCGTTATTCGTATTAAAGTTTGTCTATTTTAAACTCACATCACGTAGAATCCTATTAAGAGGGAAGGGTCTTGTATCAAGAATTTTTCCATACTCAGAGCTCAAACTCGAGATCCATTTCCGGTCCTTTGGTGGTGGCTAATACTAATTATACTACTACAGTAGTACTACTTAATGCTTCCTTAACATTTTCAACGTGTAACTATTCATGCATTACCAATTAATCAAGATGAGCAGACAATAATTGACTAAGTTCATATATGCTACTAATCTAATATTTAAGTTGAAGTAATAATATCTAAAAATGGTTTCAAGTGCAACAGTAGTAGAATTTAGTATAAATAGCCATGGTTAGATGCACATCATCATCATAAGAAATATAAACTGCTTGATTAATATTCTCTAGATTTGAATATGGCTTCCAAAACAATTGCAAGTCAGTCTTCAGTACCCCTTTTCCTATCACTGAATCTCCTGTTGTTTGCTGTTGTAAGTGGAACCAATGATACTGGAAATTGCGTTGGTTCTCAACAAACATGCTCAATAGATACTTTGAAACTTGGTGTGTGTGCTAATATACTTAATTTGGTGAATGTAATAGTCGGGTCTCCACCAACTTTGCCATGCTGCAGTTTGATCCAGGGACTGACGGACCTAGAGGCCGCGGTTTGCTTGTGCACAGCCATAAAAGCAAATGTGCTGGGAATTAATTTGAATGTACCACTCTCTCTGAGCCTCATACTAAACACATGTGGAAAGAAATATCCTACTGGCTTCACTTGTTAAACTACGTACCCTCTACTTTGCCTCATTAATTTCCAAGGGGTTAATAAATAAATAAATAAATGTATCGTCGTGCTTATGAAATTATTATGCACGTACAAACCTTTTTAAAAAAAAATTTAAATAAGTGAACTTTGCATATGCAAGTTCTCATCTTCCTATGTTACATTAATAACCACTATCAAATTAATAAATAAAACTACTCTTTATTACCTCTCCATGCTCTTCGTATATTCGTACTAAAATATTATAAACTCTACTTCTGAAGAAGCCATAGCTAGGGGAGATCTGCATAGATATCACTTAATTATCATTTATCATGTGTAATACTTGCTTAATTTTCAAATGCCCTACTATTATTTAATTAACACGTGCTAACATAAATTGCCTATTATTATTTTGCTTATTTATAGCAACCATGCATTTCTAATGATTTTTCTTTTATGAATCTTGTTTTGTTCATCTTATATTCTTAAGATAGTTTGAATAAAATTTGAAGAACTTGGTAAGACACAACAAAATTTAAGAATATTTACATAACTAGAAAATTAAAACTAGTAAAAAAATTAGAATCGGAAACGGATTAGAAAAAATGTAGGAAATATTTTTCTAGGGAACTTTAGAATAAGGAACTTTTTTTAATTTGGTGGATTCTCTTTTGGGGCTTCATGTGGCCAAATCTTCTTACTTTTAGGCTTGAATTTGAACACTTTCATGATAAAGATATTCTTGATTTCCCATTAAAGCCCATCAATTTTAATGGAGGTATGCCAATATGGATGCTATCAACATATGTCCTTATTTTTCACTCATCACTTGCCTTGTACTTTATCTGAGAAATAAACATATCAAACTTGCTGCTTTGGTGGAAGCTAGCTAGGGTCAAAGCCCACAAACAAGGCTCCATAGGTTCATGCAAACACATTACGGCCAGGTGACTTACATTTGATCTTCTGCTCAATCAATTCATTGATTGATATTGGTATCACTGGAACTCTTATCTTTTCTTGTTACTATTATAAATGTTTTTAACTCTATTAAAAAATAGAATGGAGTTGTGGTCAGTATTAACACACATTAAGCAAGCAAGAGGTTGATAGACCTTGGTTAGTTGATAGTGATCATTTTAATGTTGTGTGTTGGTTATATGGTGTTCAAATATGTTTAGCTCAAACTCAAGACTTCTCCAATTGTCTTCACACACTACAACTCAGCAAATTATCAATTGCTTTAATTACAAGAACAGATCATCCAGCACTGCACTGGTGACTTATTTTGTAAAGAAAAACAAACATTGATAGATATTGAGAAATGGAGCCTTGTTAAATAAAGTGCCCTAAAACGAAAGTCCACAGCCAAATGGACAAAACTTGGACATATATTAGTAAATAGTTCAAAATTATGATCAAAAAGAGAATGAGCAATGCTGGAACTCACTACACTCTGTGACATAAGACTTAATACAACAGAGGCTATTAAGAGGAAGTGATACAATTTTTAAGGCCCTAATTAATTATATAGTGTATATAAATTAAATATTATATATTATCTAATATTTGAAAATATAATAAATTTAACACTCTCAGACACAATAAAAATAGGTGAGCGTGCGAATTTATAACTTTTGAGGTCTGAGGTTGATCCTCAATAGCTGAGTTTTTATATATAAGCACAATATTTTTTTATAAAGATAAAATCGAAGAATACTATTCACTATTATACTTTTGATGATTTCTCAACTAGTCTTTTAGAAAATTTTAAATAGTTACGAATCTTAATAATAGAAAAGGTAACTATGAAAGAAAAAAAAAGTTTCAATAATTAGGTTGAACTTTCAGAAAACATTCAATTATTTTGAATTATGAAAGTCTCGATAATTAACTTGGATCTGTTTGAAAAATCACTTGGTAATTAGAATTGGTATAATTATTAGAGTAGTAATTATCAGCCTAGTAATTATACTGACATATTTTATTGTCACAGTGTAATTACACATGTCATGTTTGGATGGCAAAGTGTAATTACACATGTTCTATTTTGATGCACAATTGCAATAATAAAATTATAATAAATTTTAAAAATGAAAATTCATTATTTTAAATTTATACTAGACAAATAAGAAACTTTACACATTAAACTAAATATTTAAGATATATATTCTTTTTTAAAACTATATTAATTAATAAACATATTTTCTGTAACTAATATTATGAATAAATAATTGATTTTATATTTTTTTCAAATTAATATATTTCAATCGAATTGATCGTAACAACTAAAAGTATGAAGTTTCTACGAACATCGTGAAACATAAATTATTAAATGTTTGACAAAAATATAATCTATCAAGTCAATTAAAAAATGACGTTCAATGTAAATTCAACATTATTAAGGCCTCATTTGTTTCCGTTAAGTTTAAGAGGTCTAAATCTGAATATACATCTGAATAGTAAGATTTGCATTAAGATTCAAGTGTTTTGATCTGAATACACATTTCAATATTAATATGTGGTTTCTAAAACTGAACACTAAATAATTAATACTGCTTGTTTTCAATATCTGTGAAATTAACATTAAATTAATAAAATATCATAAAATTTCATTTTAACAAAATATATCGCTTTTGATAAAAAAAAATTAAAATTTTTAATAATCATGATTTGAAAGTACAATTTTTTTTCATTCAAAAATCTTGATAAAGCCAATACACCAACAGTGTTCTTGACAAGTCAATACAAGAAAATTATTAATATAAAAAAGAACTGATTTATGAAAACTTACCAGTTCAAGAGGAAAAAAATGGTGTTTGATTGAGAAAAGAGAGAGAAAGTTTTTAGTTATGAGATAAAAAGGCACGCTTAAAGCAGAAACGATGATTTATCATTTGATAACTTATTAAATGAGTCTGAAATAAAACAAATGACCTTAATGGCTTGAATCTGAATGATTCTGATTCAGACCTAAAAATCAAACGTACTTAATAGGCTAAAAATCTGAATGATTAAGATTCAGACCTCCATTAAGCGCAAACAAATGAGGCCTAAAACAAATGAAACCGAAAATATAGAAGAAGTTATAAATTCAAAACAAACAATTTAACATAATACTCTTATAACAAATATCAACATAGCAATAAATATGATTTTTATTTGTTTTTTTCTTAATAAAGAAAAAGTAAGTCTATAACCTTACTTAACAATAAATTCTATTTTAATTCAAAATTAGAATATTAATAAAATTAGGCTAATGAGAAAATAGCATGGCAGAAAGTGAATAGATAATACGAAAAAATTACATAGAATCACGTAAAGTAAGGTTGAGAACAAAAAGAAAATAAAATATAATAATATAAAATTAAAAAATAAACTTTTACAAATTTTTAGAATAATAAAAAAAAACTTAAAATAATAGAAGTAAAAAAAATAAAAATTGAAATGAAAAAAAAATAAAAAAAAGGTAATCAGGTGATAATTAAATCATGTAATTACAGCAATTCACACCCTCTTTGAATTGTGGAGTGTAATTATCCCCTGTCAATTATATCAATTATCTACTGACCAAGTAATTATTTATCCTTCCAAACAGGACAAGATAATGTAATTATATCATTACACCAAATTCAATTGCTAGAGTGTCTTTCCAAACAGGCCTTGATATGAAATAAAAAGACTATTTTTATTGACTTTTCTCCATTAATTTTGATTTATACTTGATAAAAGTTTTATAATTTCAAGTTTTTCTATGATTTAGTTATTAATGTAATTTAATTCTCTCGATTAGTTTTTCGGAATTACGCGGGAAGTAAATATTAAATGATCCGTAGTTATAGGGGAGGTTTTCATAATTAGTAACCGTTTTTTTTAATTAACCGTCGCGACCATGATGAATATTTTTACAAGTAGAAACTAAAGAAAAAAAACTTGTATGAATTAAGAAATGACGAAGAGATATGGAATACTGCGGAAGAAATTGGAAAAACTGGAATCGGATCTCCATCTGCTCTTCACGTTCCCACCGGATTCCGCGACCCACGAGATTCTCTCTCACGCCATTGAACAGCAACTTGAATTTCTAAATCATCTGTTGGCTGCAGAAATCACTTCGTCCCCGTCCAAGCCACGACACTTGTACCACATTGGTCGCAGACTCAACGAACTTGAAACCGTCTTTGATCTTCACTCACAGCAACAATTAGACGGAAATAATATGAATGATCATGATGCTGCTTCGGTCTGTTCTTGTAGCCAGTCGTGTATCAATGATGATGGAGAGGCGGCTGTAGAGCGCGATTCTGATCCGGTTAATTACGACGTTCCGGAGGATTCACCTGTTAAAGATATTGAGGAAGTTGGTGAAGGTAATGTTATAAATGGGAGGTATTTTGGAGTATTAGGGTGTGGGGTGATGATGGGTGCAGTTTGCGTGGGATTTGTTATGCTGAGATTTTATGATTCTTTTCTTGTAATTCAGCCTTCGGGTTTTCTTGTTCCTACTTAGTTATCATTAGAATCAGCAACTTTTTTTATTAAATTTAATTGCTGATCTATCTGCTACAATTACTTCTATTATTTTGAATTTGAATTGTCATAGGTAGATAGCGACGTACTTCTAATGTTATTATATATGATTTATTTGTAAAAGAGGATCTTATTCTAACTAAATTATGGATAACTGCTGAGCATTTTTTTTATTTTTTTAACTTGTAAAGCATTTGGTATTTGAGGGAACTTGTCTAGTAGGGGATAGTTTTGTAACCTTCACCATCTTTTAATAGCAGTAATTCTAATTTGCTCCATACTTATCCTTCATTTTTCTATGACAGTTAATTGTACGATTATATCCCTAGGATATGGTACATGCATAAATTATCTTGCGAGTAGTAGCAAGATTAGGATATAATATAATATAACTGATGAAATTAATTTTATCCTCTAAAAATTAGTTCGGTAGGAAAAATTCAAAATTTGTAAATCAGCTTGATAAAAGATAGTGAACAGAGATGCTGTGTGGCCGATGGCAAATGTATAATGGGATAGTTGGAAATAAAAGTTCACTCTAATAGCCTATTAGAATTAAAAAAAAAAAACGAAAAAAACATATAATAAAGTACTCATTAGTCCCAAAAGGTAAATATTTATTTTCTTTAAAATTAAAAATACTTAATCTTGTTATTATATAAATTTATTTAAATTGAAAAGTTATAAGAAAAATTATTTTT